CCCCCCCCCCACTAACCCCTGGTCCTCAATGTTTCTGTTGCATTATATTTATTTATGTGTATTTATTTGTATCTTTAATTGATATGGTCAATGCAGACCATTAGGAGCTTTGCTATCCATCTGTAACCCATGGTCTTCAATGTTTCTGTTGCATTTCTTATGTCTATTTATTTATATTTATATTTATAGCTTTAATTGATTTGGTCAATGCAGACCATTAGGAGCTTTGCTATCCTTCCATAACCCCTGATTCTCAATCTTTCTGTTGCATTACTTATATTTATTTATTTATATTTATATTTATATTTATAGCTTTAGTTGATTTGGTCAATGCAGACCACTAGGAGCTTTGCTATCCTTCCATAACCCCTGATCTTCAATGTTTCTGTTGCATTACTTATATTTATTTATATTTATATTTATAGCTTTAATTGATTTGGTCAATGCAGACCATTAGGAGCTTTGCTATCCCTCCATAACCCCTGATCCTCAATGTTTCTGTTGCATTTCTTATGTCTATTTATTTATATTTATATTTATATTTATAGCTTTAATTGATTTGGTCAGTGCAGACCACTAGGAGCTTTGCTATCCCTCCATAACCCCTGATTCTCAATCTTTCTGTTGCATTACTTATATTTATTTATTTATATTTATATTTATATTTATAGCTTTAATTGATTTGGTCAATGCAGACCATTAGGAGCTTTGCTATCCCCCCAACCCCTGATCCTCAACATTTCTATTGCATTATTTTTATTGATTGATTGATATTTGTTTATATCTTTAATTGATTCGGTCAATGCAGACCATGAAGAGCTTTCCTGCCCTACCCTTCCAAAAGTTCCTATTTTTAAAGCTAATTTTCCCTCTTTTTACATTTTTAAAACAGGGGGATTTGGATATACGACACAGTCATTTCTCTCCTCCTCCTCTTGACCAAGCTTTAAGGGTTTTAAAATACAGTACAGACCTCTGGATTCCTGGGTTCCTTTCCATGGCCCACAAGTTTTTGGAAAACAAATCTGGGCTTTGCTGCAGCTGACCAAGGGGTGAGTAACTCTGCAAATAAATAAGCTGAGAGGCACTGACCTCCTTTGTAGTTTTGGAATATTTTTCACTTTCATATTTCACCTTTCCTCCAATGACCTCAAGGAGACACAGCGTGCATCTGTAGAAATAATGCAGTTTGACGTTACTTTAATTGCCATGGTTCCATGCTATAGAATCCTGGGATTTGTAGTTTGTTGTGGCACCCGAGCTCTCTGATAGAAAAGGCTAAATATCTCACAAAACTACCAGAATTATAGCACCGAGACATGATAGTGTCAAACTGCATGAAATTCCGCAGTGTACAGTCAGCCCTCCACCTTTGCAGCTTTGACTTTTGCAGATTTGATTATTCACAGATTTAATTAATAGGTTCTCTCTAGGAATTTCTAGGTCCTCCAGTGCAACTCTGCCAGATGTTAATAGCAATACCAAGTACATTTCTATACCGCTTATCAGTACACTTAAGCACTCCCTAAGCGGTTTACAATGTGTAAGCCAATTGCCCCCAACAAGCTGGGTACCCAATTTTAGTGACCTACGAAAGGATGCCAGGCTGAGCCCTTGGCTGGTATTGAACCCGCAACCTTGCAGTTTGCGAGTGAGTGGTTGCAGGACAGGCATTGAAGCACTGCGCCACCAGGGCTCCTTAATTGAATTTTATTTTTGGGTTCCCAGTGGCAGTTCTGTTTGTCATTTGCCACACTGGGATTTTTGCACAAATCCTAAAATAGCAAATTTTGCCAATTAATCTTGTTGGTGAGGAATCAGCTATATCTTGATAGATTTTTTTTCCATACTAGCAAGAAATGGGATGGTACTCTTTCAGCTATAAAAATGTAGTGCAAGAAAGACTTTTCACTCCCAACATATAACACAATCTAGTAAGCAGTATATGATATGTATCTAGTATATGATATGTATAGGTCCTCCAGAGTGATTCTGTGGTCAACATCTGATGGATGTTGACCATAAAGTTGCATTGGAGTTACCTAAAGATTCCTAGAGAAGTGGAATAATAATTTTTTAATTTGTGGTTTTTCCATTTTCACAGGCATCTTGTACCTTTAAAATCCCAATGAATCTGGAGGGCCTACTTTAGATGCAGCCATACAACAGAGGCTTCATCCACACTGCAGAAATAACCCAGTTTGACACCAACTTAACTGCCATGGCACAATGCTATGGAACCCTGGGATTTGTAGTTTGCTGTGGCACCAGAGCTCTCTGACAGGGAAGGCTGAAGGTCTCACCAAACTACAGTTCCCAGAATTCCATAGCATCTAGCCATGGCAGTTAAAGCCGTGTCAAACTGGATTATCTCTGCAGTGTGGTTGCAACCAGGAATGGGACTTATGCAAAACTCTGGGTATGGTTGGATTGCAGCTACCAGCAGCCAGTGAGGATAGCTGATAGGAAGGCTGGGAGTTGCAGTCCAATAGCAACTGGACGGCTGCATGGTTCCCAGCCCTACTCTAACAACTATACAACACTGTCCTGAATTCACTTGATACCCATCTTTCTTTGTCTCATGGTGGGGAAAGATGCCCATCAATAGGGACAGAGATAGAAGCGTCCAAAGGTGCCTGGAATTATGTTCCTGAAAGACCTGTCCCCCGAAGGTCAGAGCCAAATGCAGCATATGCTCAGAGGCACTCTTGCCTCTGTGTAGACCACGGGATTGGTGAAATGGAAGAGTCACTCTCATTCAACAAGAAAACCCAAGCTCCGATTTGTGGTTGTGTGCCTTCAAGTCCTTTCAGATTTATGGCAACCCTAAGGTTGAAACTGCCACCTGTTTTCATAGCAAAATTTATTCTGAGAAGGTTTGCCTTTGCCTTCCCCTGAGGCTGAGAGAGTGCGACTTGCCCAAGGGTACCCAAAGGGTTTCCCTGACCATGCAGGGATTTGAACCTTGGTCTCCTGGAGCCCTAAACCAATGCTTAAACTTATAGACCACATTAATTCTTAAGATTTATTCTGAGGAGGTTTGCCACAGCCTTTCTCTGAGAGTGTGACTTGCCCAATGTCAGCCAGTGGGTTTCCACAGCCGAGCAGGGATTCGAAACTTCATCTCCCAGAATCTTATTTATTGATTTACTGGATTTACCTTTCTCCCAAGATGGGAGTCTTAGTTCAACAACAACAAAATCCTGCCTCTCATTGGCAAGATTTCTTTGGAGGCAGTTTGCCCTGGCCTTCCTCTGAGGTTGAGAGAATGTGGCTTGCCCAAGATCACTGAGTGAATTTCCATGGCCAAAGGGGGATTCGAATCCTGGTCTCTTGGGTTCTTAGCCCAACGCTTAAACCACTGCACCATTCTCCCCTTCCCAGGGCAAGATTTCTTCCAAGGAGGATTGCCACCATTGCCTTCTCTTGAGGCTGAGAGAGTATGACTTGCATGAAGTCAACCAAGGGGTTTCCATGGCTAAGCAGGGATTGGAACCTGGGTCTCTCATAATCCAAGTCTAGCATTCCCAACAGCTACACTTCTGTCTCCTTCAACTACAGTTTTGGCTTTTAAAAAGTCGTTTTCTCTGTGTTATCGCCCATCCTTTATCCCTGCAGGATCCATGCCGGTGCCGGTTGTGGTCCAGGCGGAGGCCCCCGATGGAGGTTGGGGATGGATGATCGTCTTAGCGGCTTTCCTCCAGTCTGCCTTGGTCTTCGGCGTGATCCGATCCTTTGGGGTCTTCTTTGTGGAGTTTGTGACGCACTTCGGAGAGTTGTCGGGACGCATCTCCTGGATCACGTCCATTGGGATCGCCGTGCAACAGTTTGCTAGTGAGTAAGAACAAGGGAAGGAAGGAGGGTTCAATTCCTTGGGAGCTTATTAGCCAAAGTTGGGAAAAGAAATTTGAACTACAGATCCCAGAATCCCCCAGCCAGCATGACCGCTGGCTGGGGGATTCTGGGAGCCCTAGTCCAAATAAGTAAAATTTCCAAGGCTTTTTTGTAGGCGGTCAAGGAGAGCCAGTGTGATGTAGTGGTTTGTGGGTTGGACTAAAATGCTGGCATACCAGGTTTGAATCCCTGCTCAGCCATGGAAACCCACTGGGTGACCTTCAGCAAGTCACACTCTCTCAGCCTCAGGATGGCAATGGCAAACCTGCTCTGAAAAAACCTGCCAAAAAAGCCCAGCAATAGGGTCACCATAAGTCAGATATGTTACTTGAAGGCACACAACAATAGCAACAACAACACAAGGAGAAATTATTGTCCTATATGTGCTGAAAATGCCTCTTTTGGCTGTGACTGCTGTGATGTGATGGAAACCATCACATACATTTTTGCTTCTTAGAATTATACCTTGCCTTCCCCCCCCCCC